CATTCTGGGGAAAAGCCACATGTGTGCAGCACGTGTGGGCGAGCCTTTTGCTATAAATCGTCCCTTCTTCGCCACCAGAGGAGACACACTCGGGAAAAGCGACAAGTGTGCGAATAGTGTGGGAGCGAGCTTTTTAAAATAAGCCGTCCTGCATGCAACTTGATACCCTGGGGAGCAGTCTCGCGCCTGCAAGGAGTGTGGGTGTTGGGCCGTTCCGTTCCCTTGAAGTCCCCTCGTATCAAGCACTGGAGAAAACAATCAGGAGAAACCTACACGTTGGCTGTGGGTGCGGACTTGTCCCCAGGTTTCGAATTTACTTTGATCATATGTCGGAGGACACACTAGGGAAAAGCCGCTTGTGTCAGTGAGTGTGGGTGAGCCTTCAGCCAGAAGTCTCATCACATCAGAGACCAGAGGAAAGCACTTATGTGTGAGCCAGTTTTTTTCGTGTGTTCCCTTCATTGATCAAAATACCCCGGCCTTGGAAATGGACTGTGACTGTTAGTTTGTACACAACATACAACAATACACATGTATTTACCCAGGTGCATTGGGAGTGTTCTGAAGTTCTGATTCCCTCCTGATGCAGAAGTGGTTAAATTCATTTCTTGTCTCCTCACTGGGTCTGACCCAATTGGCTATGCTTGTACCAGACACGAACTTGCACTTGAGTAACAGTTTTTGGCACACTTCTCAGTGGTTAGCCTCACCTGGATCCACTCTGTGCCCTGACTTGTGGGTCTGTGGCTTTTCCTCCTGCCAACTCTGAGAACGTTACTCCAGGCGTGGACCTGTCACCTTCCATGGCCTGGAGACCTAAAGTCTGAAAGGAAATTCATCTGGAGAATCAGGAAGCAGCTGTGTTCAAGTAGTAAATGGATTGTAAATCCTCTCATACGTGAACCTCTGGTGCCAAGACCAGACATGCAAGAATGTGATAAACAGATCTTAGAATCTCCCCCTTACTTTTGAAGCCCCTCCTAAGTTGTCTGAGTGGCACCAGAGAGACCAAGATCAAGCAGCTTTGAGGTTTGGGAACCAAGACCACAAGCACGCATGGCTTTTGAGGGTTTCGGGCCAAGGTCAAACTATACTCGTTTGCTGGGGACGAGAGATTTTCTGCTGAAGAGAAGTGGGTTATGGTCAGAGATCTGTTCAAGATGGCTGTCCTTTAAGATAAAGCCTGAGTAACTGATCTTAGAGAAATGATCCAGTATATGGAATGGGAACACTCGGGATACAGTTCTTTCACATTCTGGCGAGCCTCCGCTCAGCCATACCCAAGCTGTGCACCCCCCCACCTTCCGAGTCCTGTCGTGATTGGACACGCACTCTGTCCCGCCTATACAAATGTAGCCCCGTCTGCCTCAGCAAGCTCTGCCTGGTGTTGCTGAGGTCCAGCTCCGTGACCTGACAAGCGACTTGCTGCAGGCCCCGCGGTAGTACTCGGAGACAAGGCACCCCACCAGCCAGCCGCCTGCCTGCCTGAGGCCCTCAAATCTCTCACCGGCCCGGGTGATGGGGAACCCACACCTCCAGCTCTTGCTCTTGATTCTGCTGCTGCTGCCTCTGCTAATGTCACTGCTCTCTCTCCGTCACCTCTTGCCACCCGTGGTGTCCTAGCTCTACTGTGTAAGGAGGGTCTAAAGGATGCCTTCGACGGAGATCTTGCCATCTCCCTTCCCCCCTTGTACTTCGGAGGGGATCCTGGTAAACCCAGAAAACAGCAAAGCTGACCAATCCTCACATCAGGGTCACATACACCTCATTTGCATCCTCCACTTCTGTACCTTATTTACATGACTAGCAAGCTCCAACTGCCTTGGTGGGCCACACAGAACCTCACATTTCTATCGTTCAAGCCAGTCATTTAGTAACAATTCCAAAGACAATAACTAAAGGAGAAATACCACTCCAGAAAATATCATTCCTAAGGCACCAGTTAGAAACGTCCTGAAGATTATTCAAAAGTGCTAGCAATCGCACTCCCCTATACAGTGGATGTGTGATCTGGAGCAATGGAGGCTAGTCAACACCCACTCTTCAGTGGAAGAAAGAAAGGGAAGAAGCAGCTTATTGTTAGAAGTTAGCTAACTGAGCATCCAACAGAACAAGTTAATTAATGGGTGTTGCATGTTTCGTTTCTCAAGCAACATTTGTACAAACCTAACAAGTGCTAAGTACACACATGTACATAGGCTCTGATTCTTAAAAAGACATGTTTTTCGGTGCCCCTGAGTCCGTTTTGCCTCAGAGCAACCCTGTCCACAACAGAAGAGAAAGCACCTAGTCCCACCCCACGCAATTGTTCCTATATTTCAGTGTATTGCAGCTACTGTGTCTATCTCGTCAAGGGTCGTGTTCTTTGTCATTGCTCCTCTGTCTTACCAAGCATGATATCTTAGCTAGAGGGGGTCGGATAACATGTCCAAAGTACATGAGACGCATCTCACCATGCTTGCTTCTAAGGAGCTTTCTGACTACTTCAAAGATAGATTTGTTTGCTCATCTAGCAATCCATGATGCTTTCAATAAAATCACAGAGCTAAAAACCATAAGGTACAGTGAGTATATAAATGTGAGTATATAAATAGATAGATAGATATAAATGTAATTCTATTGTCTTAACATCTACTTTCGAGATGATTGTCACTTATCAATCATCCAATAATGAAAAAACTGAAGGGGTCAATTTGATCCCAAGTATGCTCCAACTCGTAATTCATAATCCCCACACTTGTTTGAACCTTGGGAAACTGGAAGCATACCATGAGAAATGTAAAAATGGCTTCCGCAAGATTAATGATACCTCCACATGGTGGACTAAAATGAACAAGGATGCGATCTGGCTCCCAACTCACAGCAGTTTATGAACAGGGAGCTGCCAGGAAATCAAGCTGGACTCAGTGGAGGATGTAGAACAGGGCAGACATTGCCAGTGATGTGAGCAAGACCTTGCTCCTGTTTCCTGGTTGACCTTCCTAGATGTTCTCATGCTGAACGTAGTGTATTGACATCTCTTAAGTGTTGTTGCAGTGGAATCTGTTTCTCCCGTCAACTGTTCAGTGTTTGGTTTATAAATAAGTGCTCTGTTGTTGAGTGCCTATATATTTATGATTGTTACATTGACCATTTTGTCTTGATAAATTGACCATTTTGTCACAGTGTAATATGTTACCTCCTAACAGGTCTTGTATTGAAACCTACTTTGTCAGATACTGAGATTTCTTCCCAACTCCCTTCTGGTTATTAGGTGCCTGGAGTATTGTATCCATGTGTTCCCATTCAACCTATTTTTGTCCTTGGGTCTGAGGAATGGCTCTTGGAAACTATTTAGTTGGATGATGTTTTCAGACCCATTCCACTACTCTGTCTTTCCTTTGGAACATGTAGTTCATTTACATTCACTGTAATTCCTGGTAAAAAGTGACTAAAAATGTGTTAGACTGCGTTCTCTAGAGAAGAAGACCGGTGAAGCTTATATGCTTATAGAAAGAGGTTATATCAAGAAATGGCTCACACAGTTGTACAAGCGAGTACATCCAGGCCAACTTGCGTTCTTGAGTTAGAAGTAAGCTGAAGGGTTCTCCTGATTTCTGTAGCCGAAGGGGCTGCCTAAGAGGAAGCAGGAAGACCACAGGCTGCTGGTGAACGCCAAGCTGAATAAATTCGAGATCAGCAGAAGGAATCCAAGGTCAGTAGTCCGCTGATGACTCCTGGTATTTGCAGGCAACAGAACAATGTCCAAGAACCAGATTCAAGATCCAAAGGTAGCATTAGACATTAGCTAGCTTCCACACACTGTCGATTTATCCTAAACATAGGCTATCCCCAAGAAGCCGAGGTGGCATCATGGTTTTGAATTGGGCTGCTAACCTCAAGGGCAGCAGTTTGAAACCACCAGCTTCTCTGCTGGAGAAAGACGAGGCTGTGTACTCCATCTCGGATAGCCACAGGGGGAGTTCTACTCGGACCTACAGGATTGCTGTGAATCAGAATCGACTTGACAGCCGTGAGTTTGGTTTTGGTGTGGAGACCTTACCCTGAAGGAAACCTTTCGTTATAGCAAGGCAATGGCCACCCACCACTTGTCTGTCAGTTTGTCATACTGTGTGGGCTTGTGTGTGGCTGTGACGTGGGTACCCGTCTCGCTAGTATTTCAAATACCAGCAGGGTCACCCAGAGACAACAGGTTTCATCACAGTTTTCCACACTAAGATTACGAAAAAGGAATGGGCTGTCCACTGCAAAGGAATTATCCACTGGAGACTGAGGGACAGAACGGGTGGGTGTCTGCCCTGCCCGCTAAGGGAATGAACAAAGGGAGGGTCCTGTGAAACAAGTTCAAAACAATAGGCCCCGTGAGAAGTGGCTTGGCAGACACTTTAACCTTGAAGC